TCTTCTTCCTCCAGTCACCTCACCTGATGGTCCCAACACTTCATCATCCACCACCTCCCGGAGGGGGTACCCTGAGGTGCTCACCTGGGGGCTCTCCTCCTCATCCTCGGTGAGCAGGATGGTCATGATTTTTCCCAAAATCTGTCCCATCCCATGGACTGAGTCTCTGTTCTGTCCAAGGCCTTTTTCTGGACTCTGCTAGGAGCCAGAAGAGTGTGTTATGAATTCTCGAGGCTGGGAGAAGTCAGGAGTGGAGAACAGCTCTGAGAAGATGCTGTTGTCCACTTCAGCTCCCAGGCGCCCACGGAGTCCGGTCCTTCCAGTTAGGAAGGTTGGAATCTCTGATGTCATTGGCCATTCCAACCTGGCAACTTCCCAAAATCTGTCCCATCCCATGGACTGAGTCTCTGTTCTGTCCAAGGCCTTTTTCTGACTTCTGCTAGAGCCAGAAGAGTGTGTTATGACACTCCGAGGCTGGGAGAAGTCAGGAGTGGAGAAATAGCTCTGCAGAAGATGCTGTTGTCCACTTCAGCTCCCAGGCGCCCACGGAGTCCGGTCCTTCCAGTTAGGAAGGTTGGAATCTCTGATGTCATTGGCCATTCCAACCTGGCAACCAGTTTAGCAGAAAACAATACATGTACTGCCAGCTGATCTCTTGTCCTGAGATGTTGGGTGAATGGTATCTCCTGCCACTGTCCCGACCTCAGACCACTGTCCATAAGCATCTTCAGGGTCTCCGCATCCCTCTGTTCCCTGTCCCAGCAGAGGCTGTGTTCTCTCCACTCAAAGCCTGCGGCATGGTGGGGTCTCCTCTTCTCTGTACATGCCCATTTCAGAGTCCAGTCTGGTGGGAGAGGGAACAGGGTGGGAAAGAACTAGGGTAAGCAGAAACGATGAAACCTGACAAGAGTGAGATGATCATGTACAAGAGATCCCAGGAACCTTGACTTGATGAAAAAGTCACATCAGAACACTCAATTTGGCAGAGCTTTTCTGCCGAATGTCCACTGACATTCACTGTCCGAGATTCTGTACTGGGGGTACACGCATCCTCTGCCCTAAGGCATCTTTGAGTCCAAGAGACATTTTGAGGTTTGAAAATCATAGGAATCTGCTCATGAGCTCACACATGTTTCTACTGGTGTCCCCAATTTCAGGGAGTCCATGGATCACCTAAAGCCAGCCCCTCTAGTACGGCTAAGAAACTCTAGTCTATATATCATGTTTTATATCACATGTATTGCTCTGAACTCAGAAATTTCCCTACCATTTATGGATTCTATGAATAAAATATCACATGTACAAAAAGACTAAGTCGAAAAATCTCAGCTGTGTACAGTGGCTCGTGCTTGTAATTCCATCTCTTTGGGTGGCCAAGGGAGGAAGATTGCCTGAGGCCAGCAGTTCAAGACCAGCGTAGGCAACATAGCAAGACCCCATCTCTAAAAAAACAAAACCAAACTAAATTAGCCAGGTGTGGTGGCTGGCACCTGTGTTCCAACAACTTGGGAGACTGAGGTGGCAGGAGGATTGCTTGAGCCCCGGAGTTAGAAGCTGCAGTGAGCTATGATCTTATCACCACACTGCAGTCTGGGCAACACAGCATGGCTTTGTGTCAAAAAAATTTTTTAATAAAATATATGAGTTGTATGACATTCAGAGACCACCCAAAGAACCTGTGGGGTCTTGCTCTGTCGCCCAGGCTGGAATGTAGGGGTGCAATCTCAGCTCACTGCAACCTCTACCTCTCAGGTTTGAGCCATTCTCCTGCCTCCGCCTCCCACGTGGCTGGGACTACAGGCATGCGCCACCACATCTGGCTAATTTTTAGATTTTTAGTAGAGATGGGTTTCACCATGTTGGCCAGGCTGTTCTCGAACTCCTAACCTCAAGTGATCTGACCACTTCAGCCTCCCAGAGTGCTGGAATTACAGATGTGAGCCATCACACCTGGCCAAGGTCTTATTAAAACAATTTTTGCCAAGACCAGTGTCCTGAAGTGTTTTCCCTGTGTTTTCTTCTAGTAATGTCATAGCTTTGGGTCTTACATTTAAGACTTAAATTCATTTCGAGTTTATTTTTGTACATGATGAGAAATAGGGATCAAGTTTCATCCTTCTGTTTATGGATACCCAGTTTTCCTACCATTTATTGAAGAGACTGTCCTTTCCCCAATGAATGTTCTTGGTACCTTTGTCAAAAATGCATCCACCATCCTGGCTAACACGGTGAAACCCCGTCTCTACTAAAAAAAATACAAAAAACTAGCCGGGCGAGGTGGCGAGCGCCTGTAGTCCCAGCTACTCAGGAGGCTGAGGCAGAAGAATGGCATGAACCTGGGAGGCGGAGCTTGCAGTAAGCTGAGATCCGGCCACTGCACTCCAGCCCGGGTGACAGAGTGAGACTCCGTCTCAAAAAAAAAAAAAGGCATCTACTGGCCAGGCACAGTGGCTCACGCCTATAATCTTATCACTTTGGGATGGTGAAGTAGGTGGACTGCTGGAGCCAGGAGTTTGAGACCAGGCTGGGCTCCGAGGTGAAACTGTGTTTCTACAAAAAAATACAGACACACACGTGTGCGCGCACACACACACACACACAAACATAGCTTGGTGTGATGGTACACGCCCGTGGTCCTGGCTACTTGGGAGGCTGAGGTGGGAGAATCACCTGAGCCTGAGGAGGTCAAGGCTACAGAGAGCTGAGATTGTACCACCGCACTCCAGCCTGGATAACAGAGTGAGATCCCATCTCAAAAAAAAAAAAGACTTCACTGTAGATGTATGGATTTACTTCTGGGTTCTCTGTTCTGTTCCATTGGTCTTTGTATCTGTTTTTATGACAGTGCCATGAGGCTTTAATTCCTGTAGCTTTGTAGTATATTTTGAAGTCATTTAGTGTGACACCTTCAGCTTCGTTCTTGCTCAGGACTGCTTTGGCTATTTGGGGTTTTTTGTGGTTCTATACGAATTGTAGGATTGTTTTTGCTATTTCTGTGAAGAATTGGTATTTTGATAGGGATTGCATTGAATCTGTAGATTGCTTTTGGTAGTCTGATCATTTTCACAGTATGAATTCTTGCAATCCATCAGCATAAGGTATCTTTCCGTTTTTCTGTGTGTCCTCTTCAATTTATTTCACCAGTGTTTTATAGTTTCCCTTACAGAGACCTTCTCCTCCTTGGTTAAATTTACTCCTAGGTATTTTTTTATAGCTACTGTAAATGTGATTGCTTTCTCAATTTATTTTTCAGCTAGTTCACAGTCAATATACAGAAGTAGTGTTGATTTTTGTCTGTTGATTTTTATATCCTGCAACTGTACTAAATGTATCAGTTCTAAAAGTTTTTTTAGATCCAGGCCTGATGGCTCACACCTGCAATCCCAGCACTTTGGGAGGCCGAGGTGGACAGATCACAAGGTCAGGAGTTCGAGACCATCCTTGCCAACATGGTAAAACCTCATCTCTACTAAAAATACAATAATTAGCTGGGCATGGTGGCACGTGCTTGTAATCCCAGCTACTCAGGAGGCTGAGGCAGGAGAATCGCTTGAACCCAGGAGTCACAGGTTGCAGTGAACTGAGACTGCGCCATTGCACTCCAGCCTGGGTGACAGAGGGAGACTCCATCTCAAAAAAAAAAAATTTTTAGTAGAGTTTTTAGGATTTTCTATATATAAGACCATGTTGTCTTAAAACAGGGATGATTTGACGGCTCTTCTCTAGTTTGAATTCCCTTTCTTTCTTTCTCTTGACTAACTGCTCCGTCTAGGACTACAGACCTCCGTCTAGTACTATTGAATAAGAGTGGTGAGGGTGGGCATTTATACCTTGTCCCAGTTCCAAGAGAAGAAACTTTAAGCTTTTCCCGATTCAGTGTGATGTTAGCTGTGGATTTGTTACATGTGGCCTTTATTGAGTTGACATACATTCCTTCTCTGCCTACTTTTTTCAGAGTTTTGTCATAAAGCAATGTTGAATTTCATCAAATGCTTTCTCCTCATCTCTTGAGATGATTACATGGTTTTTGTCCTTTGTTCAGTTGATGGGATGCATCACATTTATTGATTTGCAAATGTTGAACCATCCTTGTATCTCTGGGATAAATCCCACTTGATCATGGTGAAGGATCTTTTTAATGTGCTGCTGGATTTGGTTTGCTAGCATTTTGTTAAGGATCTTTGCATCTATGTTCATCAGGGATACTGGTCTGTAGTTTTCTTTCTGTGTTGTGTTCTTGTCTGGTTTTCATATTAGGGTAATGCTGGCCTTGTAGAAAGACTTTGGAGGAATCCCTTCCCCTTTAATTTTCTGGAAGAGTCTGAGAAGAATTTGCATTGGTGCTTCTTTAAATATCTGGTAGAATTCAGCGGTGAATCTGTGGTTTTTCTTTGACAGACTTTTTTTTTTTTTAGTTTCTCTCTTTCTGCACAGGCTGGAGTGCATTTGCATGATCTTGGCTCACTGCAAGCTCCACCTCCCAGGTTCAAGTGATTCTCCTACCTCAGCCTCCCGAATAGCTGGGATTATAGGTGCGTGCCACCACGTCTAATTTTGTCTTTTGTTGTTTTTTGTTTGTTTGTTTGTTTTTTGAGACAGAGTCTTGCTCTGTCGCCCGGACTGGAGTGCAGTGGTGCTACTTCAGTGGTGATTTCCGAGATTTTGGTGCACCTGTCTACCAAGCAGCCTACACTGTACCCAATGTGTAGTCTTTTATCCACTCTCATCCCAACCTTGCCTCTGAGTCCCCAAAGTCCATTTTTTTTTTTTTTTTTTTTTGAGACAGAGTCTCGCTCTGTCGCCAGGCTGGAGTGCAGTGGCGCGAACTCGGCTCACTGTAACCTCCACCTCCAGGGTTCAAGTGATTCTCCTGCCTCAGCCTCCAGAGTAGCTGGGATTACAGGCGCCTGCCACACTGCCCGGCTAATTTTTTTGTACTTTTAGTAGAGCTGAGCTTTCACCATCTTGGCCAGGCTGGTCTTGAACTCCTGACCTCAGGTGATCCACCCGCCTCAGTGTCCCAAAGTGGTGGGATTACAGGCATGAGCCACCACGCCAGGTTGACTATGCTTTTCTTAAGCCACCAAAGTGGTAGAATGTCATCCCGATATGGGACCTCTGCCTAGGGGGGCGTCGGGTTTCGATTGAGGGCTGTCTCCCTGGGGATGTCCTTCCTAGAGGCTCGGCGACCTCGTGCTGTGACTCTGTGATGACCCCGCGGCCTCTTCACCCGTGCAGCTTCTCCCTCGTGTGGATCCGGTGATGGCGGATGAGGTTCGCCTTCTGGGAGAAGGTCTTCCCGCAGTCGGAGCACTGGTACGGTTTCCCCCCAGTGTGGGTCCGCCTGTGCGGCAGGAGGCAGGAGTTCTGGGAGGACGCGTTCCCGCACTCCGCGCGGCCGTGGCGCTTCTCCCCGGTGTGAGTCCTCCGATGCAGGATGAGGTGGAACTTCTGGAAAAAGGCCTCTCCGCAGTCGCCGCAGCCGTACGGCTTCTCCCCCGCGTGGATTCTGGCGTGGATGAGGAGACACGATTTCCGGGAGAAGGACGGCCCGCATTCCCTGCAGCCGTACGGCTTCTCCCCCGCGTGGGAGCGATGGTGCTCGATGAGGCGCGACTTGTGGGAGGTTTTCTCGCACTCGGAACACCTGTAAGGCTTTGCTCCCGCGTGAACTGTCCCGGGGACACAGAGGCCTGTCTTCTGGAAGATCGTTTTACCCCTTCTGCCGTCTCTACCGGGTTTCTCCTTTGTGTGAGTTCCCCGTTTGTCGGGCAAACCTTCTCCCTGGAACCACGCCCCCGTTCACTGCACGCAAAGGATTTCTCCGCGGTGTGGACCCCGTGATGCACCATGAGGGCCGATCTGCAGGAGAAGGCTTTCCCACGCTTGGTGCATGCGTGGGGTTTCTCACTACTGGCTCCTTGATCTGCAGGAAATCCCTCGTCACAGCTTAAAACACTTCTACACTGGTGACATCCGCGTGCATTCGCTCCTGAAGGTGGAGTTTCAAGTTTCGAATAGAGGAACAAGTTTCCACCGCCGTCGCACTCAAATCTCCTCCTTGCCAGGTAGGCGTTAGGAGTGAAGTCCAGGTTACACATCAGACTCTTTCCGCACAAGTCACCTGTGTGGACCTGCTGTTTTGATGGAACGAGGTTTGGGCTCTGATGGAGTTTTTTTCCTAGTTGATTACATTCATGAAGCTCATTTCGGGTCCAGTCTTTCTTGTCTAGGAATGTATCACTCAAACGTTGGTCTTGGTGTTGCTGTTGGCTACCTGGCTGGGTAACAACTTGCCAAACTTCTAGAAAAAGATAACACAAACTTTTTTTTTTGTTTTGTTTTAGATGGAGTCTCACTCGGTTGCCCAGGCTGGAGTGTACTGGCGTGATCTTGGCTCACTGCAACTTCTGCCTCCCAGGTTCAAGTGATTCTCCTGCCTCAGCTTCCAGAGTAGCTGGGATTACAGGTGTTGGCCACCATGCCCAGTTAATTTTTGTATTTTTAGTGGAGGCCGGGTTTCACCATGTTGGCCAGGCTGGTCTTGAACTCCTGACCTCAGGTGATCTGCTGGCTTCGGCCTCCCAAAATGCAGGGATTACAGGCATGAGCCACAATGCCTGGCCATAAATTTGTTAATCTTGGAGTATTGTATCACAAAACTACTGCAGAAAAGCTTGAAGGGAGGATTCATTTTGTGGTTTCAAGTCTTAATTGCCTGTAATCCGAGCTGCTCAGGAGGCTGAGGTGGGAAGATCGTTTGAGCCTGGGAGGTTGAAGCTGTAGTAAGCCATGATCACACCACTGCACTCCAGCCTAGGTGATGGAGTGAAACTCTGTCCCAGAAAGTAGCAAAACCAAGTGCCCGGTACCTCCCTTGAGGCCCAGGTTACACGAGGCCTTCGCTCTCCACACTTCCTACGTTCTCCTGACCTATGCTCCCTTTCATTCCGTATACCAAATGGATTTTCTCAAAGCATGAGGCCCTTTTTGTTGTTGTTGAGATGGAGTCTCACTCTGTCGCCAGGCTGGAGTGCAGTGGTGCAATCTCAGCTCACTGCAACCTCAGCCTCCTGGGTTCAAGTGATTCTCCTGCCTCAGCCTCCCGAGTAGCTGGGATTACAGGCACCCGCCACCATGCCCAGCTAATTTTTTGTATTTTTAGTAGAGACAGGGTTTCACTGTGTTGGTTAGGCTGGTCTCGAACTCTACTGAACCCTCAGGTGATCCACCCACCTCGACATTCCAAAGTGCTGGGATCACAGGCGTGAGCCACTGTGCCCGGCCATGAGATCTTTATTATTAAAGGAATTATCTTGGAGCTAGAGGCATTTTCTGCAGTGACTTATCTGTCACATGGACCTATGGATCTTTAAGATGTCAACAGAAGAATACTAGAATACACAAGCCATCCTGTCCTCAGGAGTCAGACTCTGTCTCAGTACTGTATTACCACTTTGTTTTGTTTGGGGACACGGTCTCACTCCGTTATGCAGGCTGGAGAATGAGGGGGTGCATAATCATGGCTCTCGGCCTCAAACTCCTTGCTCCCGAGTCTCCCACCTCAACCTCCCAAGTAGCTGCAGGACTACAGGTGCATGCCACCACATCCAGCTAGTGGTTTCCACGGAAGTGTTTTTGTAGATATGGGGTCTTACTATGTTGCCCAGGCTTGTCTTGACTTCTGGCCTCCAGCGTCTTCTGTGCCTCCCAATTGGCGCTGGGATTATAAGGAAATTAGCCAGGCACAGTGGCTCATGCCTGGTTTCTTTTTTTGTAGAGATGGGTTTGCTATGTTACCCAGGAGAAGTCTCGCTCAGCCTCAGCGATTCTTTGCCTCCGCCTCTCTAAAATGCTGAAGTTACAGGCATGAGCCACACCTGGTGTATCTTCATTTACATTTAAACCAAAGAAAGGCTACCTCTGCCTCACCTCTGAGGCTCATGTCAACTCCAAGGGAGTCACTCCTCTGTTTAGAAGTTCCCGGCTGTGTGCAGGGGCTCACGCCTGTAATCCCAACACTTTGGGAAGCCAAGGTGGGCAGATCACCTGGGGGGTCAGGAGTCTGAGACACAACCTGTGGTCAACATGGTGAAACCCCATCTCTGCTAAAAATACAAGAATTAGCCCAGCATGGTGAATTTCATGCCTATAATCCTTAGGAGACTAAGGCAAGAGCACAACGTCCCACGGAGGCAGAGGTTGCAGTGACCCAAGACTGTGCCACTGCACTCCAGCCTGGGTGACAGAGAAAGGAGCTAAACTCTCAAAAAAAAAAAAAAAAAGTTCACATAGCCACCAGTGCAGTGGCTCCGCCTGTAATCCCAGCACTTTGGGAGGCAGCGACCGAGGCAGGCAGATCATCTGAGGTCAGGGGACTTCAAGAGACTAAGCCCACGACCAACCTTGGGTGAAACCTATCTCTCTCTCTCTACTAAAAATAAAAAAAAATTAGCCAGGCATTGCTTTTATGCCTGTAATGCCTTCCTATGGAGAGGCTGAGGCAGGAGGAGAATCACTTGAACCTGGGAGGCGGAGGTTGTGGCGGAAAAGCTGAGATTGTACCATTACCTCAAGCCACAGGCAACAAGAGCAAGAATTCCGTCTCAGAGAAAAAAAAAAAAGAAAAAAGTTCAAGAGTCGAACTGCTGAATTCTGAGAGTGAGAGACCACCTGTTCATTTCCGCCAGTTTCTGGGGTGAGACCAGCCAGGGCTATTTTTAAAGTTCCCAAGTAATTTTCAGTGTGGATCATCAATTAATTAGCAATGTCCTTAACAGAGTAGCGACAAAGAATCCTTGTCCTGATCAAAGAGGGTTAAAGGAGTGTCCCAGAGACTTCTTGAAAAACATAGACAAATAGAAATATAACAACTCTTCTCCCATTGAGAGTTATACTGTTATTGGGTGCAGATTTAGTGGGGCCGTGTTGCAGTCTTGAGAGGAGATGGCAAGAAGTCATATAAGGTCATACACCAGGCTGGATAGTAGAGTAACCAGATGCCTTAGTAGACAAAGCTGACACTAACCTCTAAGATTGGCCAGGCACAGTGACTCACTTGCAATCCCAGCACTTTGAGGCCAGGGTGGGAGGATCGGCTTGAGCCCAGGAGTTCAACTACAATCCGCGGGCAACATTGTGAGACCCATCTCTCTAAAAACCTGGAAGATAAGCCAGTCTCTCTTTGTTTTTTGAGGAGATGGGATCTCTGCCAGGCTGGAGTGCAGTGGTGTGATCATAGTTCACTGCAACATCGACCTCTAGACTCAAGCAATCCTCCCAGCCTCAGCTTCCCCAAAGTGCTGGGACTACAGGTGACAACTGCCATGCTGGAGGGTTTAATTACTTCTGATTCCATTACTGGTGCTAGCTGATCTTTCATTGTTGTTTTTTTCTGAGATGGGGTCGCGGCTCTGTTGCCCAGGCTGGAGGATCCACAGCTCACTGTGGCCTCAACCTCCACCTGGGCTCATACAAGCTTTGTTAGAGTAAGGACTATGGGGTGCATGCCATCATACCTGGCTAATTTTGTGTTTTTTTAGTAGAAGCGGGATTTCACCATGTTGGCCAGGCTGGTCTTGAAGTCTAACCTCATGTGATCTGCCTGCCTAGCCTCTCCAGTGCTGGGATTGGCGTGAGAACCACCATGTATCCCCTGGTCAGGTGTGTTTAATAGAAAGATGCTGCCAACTCCAAATAACCCAGCCCTTCATTTCGACAGCAGAAACTTGGTGATCAGCATGCTTGAACCAATGCACGCGAGGTGAGCGGGGAGGGGAGACAGCAGTGATTTAAAGCCGTCAAGTTGGCCAGGTGCAGGGGCTCACGCCTGTCATCCCAGCACTTTGGGAGGCAGGGTGGGGCGGATCAAGGTCAGGAGATCGCGAGACCATCTGGCCAACATGGTGAAATGGCACCTCTACCACACAAAAAATTACAAAACTTAGGCCAGGTGTGGTGGCGCGCACCTGTAGTCCCCCAGCCCCCGCTACTTGGGAGGCGGAGGTTGCAATGAGCTGAGATCGCGCCACTACACTCCAGTCTGGGTAACAGAGTGGGGTCCATCTCAAAATAAATAGTCATTAAGTACACTAAAGGACAGGAATGGCTTTCTGCCAGTTTTTGTGTGAAGAGACAGTAGGACTAAATTATACATGTAGCAAATATGTTTTGAGGCATTTCACAGTGAAGAAAAAGATGAAAAGAACAGCAAATGGTACAAAATAACAGCTGTTGTTTTCAGCAAAGGGCAGATGAATGAATCTCTAGACACAGGAGAAAGCCTGTTTTACTAACCTACAGGGAAAATGCTGAAGATTCTACCGGAAGACTTAGCAATTGAGGTCTTAGTGGGGACAGCAGAGCAGAATCAAGAGACAAAGGGAAAATGAGCGGTCAGGCATCACGAAGAAGCGCATGCCTGTAGTTCACCTACTTGGGAGGCTAAGGCAGGAGGATCACTTGAGCTCAGGAGTTTGAGACCATCCTGGACAACATAGGAAGACCCCATCTCTACAAAAATATGAAAAAAAAAAAAAAGCTCAGTGTGATGGCATGTGTCTGAGTAACTTTGGCTTCTCAAGAGGCTGAAGTAAGAGGATTGCTTGAGCTCTAGGAGTTGGAGGCTGATGACTAAGTCACTCCATTTGCATTCCAGTCTGGGTGAAAAGCCCAAGACCCTCTCAAAACAGAAAAAGAAAGCCAAGTGCGGTAGCTCATACCTATATCCCAGCACCTTAGAGAGGAGACAGAGAGTGGGAGGGTCATCTGAGGTCAGAGTTCAGATATTACCGCTTGGCTAACATAGTGAAACCCCATCTACACTTAAAAGCTGAGCATGATGGTGGCATGTGCTTGTAATCCCAGCCTCAGGAGGAGGCTGAAGCCCAGGGTAGCTTGAACCTGGGAGGCAGGAAGGTTGCAGTGAGCCGAGAGATGGCTGCCTGTACTCCAGCCTGGGCAACAGAAAATAGACTGTCTCAAAAAAAAGAAAAAAAAAAATAGAATATGCCTTTCTCTAAAATCCAGGGACAGAAAGTGGTGTGATGTGCAGGTGGCAGGATGCTGAGGCATCTCAAGGGTTCAGGGCCAAATGTCCACAGCTGCTTCTGCAAAGATGCCAGGTTTGCACTGAGATGAGTCAAGCTCTGTCTGCCAGGCTGGAGCACGATGTGATCTCGTCACCACGGCGCCTCTGCCCCCAGGTTCAAGCGATCAGCCTCCCGGTAACTAGGTAGATGCGCGCATGGCACCACGCAGGCTAATTTTTTTGGTAAACAGGGGTTTCACTGTGTTGCCCAACTCAGGTCGATCTCCTAACACCTGTGATCACGCCCGCCTTGGCCTCCCAAAGTGCTGGGATTACAGGTGCGAGCCACTGCGCCCAGCCAGATCTGACTTTTAAGCCCAGTTGCCTGAAACAAGAGGACATCCGGCAGGTGTCATGGCTCACGCCAATCCCAGCACTTTGGGAGGCCAAGGCGGGTGGATCGCCTGAGGTCAGGAGTTTGAAACCAGCCTGACCAACATGGGTGCAGAAACCCCGTCCTACCAAAATACAAAAAATTAATCCAGGCATGGTGGCACTTGGCGGCTGCACCAATCCTGCTACACAGGAGGCTGAAGCAGGAGAATGGTTTTAGAACACCTGGAAGGCAGAGGGTTGCAGTGAGCTGAATTGCACCACTGCACTCCAGCCTGGGCGACAAGACTCCATCTCAAAAAACCAAACAAACCAAGAACATCCATGGGTTCTCCTTTGTAGACTTCCAGGAGCCTCATCCCGCAGCCCCTGCAGGCCACTCCACTCACCTGGGAAGCTCCACGTCCTTATCTCCTTCCTCCTCCATCCCTTGCTGGCTCCTTCCCTCTTTCCCAAACCATGGAGATCACAGCTGGTTTTGCTGACTTGACACCCTCTTCCAGGGAGAAACAGTTAAAAGGATTTGTGCTGAGCCAGCTGGGCGTGTTAACACAGCAGACAGTTCAGCCTGCTGACCAGCGGTGGGCGTCTCGACACCACAGAAAGGCTGTTCGCGAGTAGCTGAAGGGCCACAGGTGGGATCGAGAGCTCTTTGACCACTGAAACCCAAAGGCCAAGCACTTTTATTTTTTGACACAGAAGTCACCTCTGTTGCTGCCCAGGCTGGAGTCGTGGCACAATCACAGTTGCAGCCTCAACCTCCTGCACTCCAGCTGAGTCACTCCCATCTCAGCCTCCCAAGTAGCTGGGGATTGCCACAGGCCATGCATCACCACCCTCAACTAATTTAATTTTTTTTTTTGTAGAGATGGGGTTTTACTCTGTTGCCCAGCTAATCTTGAACTCAGAAGCTCAAGTGATCCTTCCATTTGAGGGACTCACAAATATCTGGGACTGCAGGCACATGCCACCATGCCTGGCTCATTTTTTAATTTGTATAGATCAGGTCTTGCACCTGTGGCTCAAGCAATCCTCCCACCTCGGCCTCCTGAAATGCTGCAGGATCACAAAGGCATGAGCCACCATGCCAACTAGCACTTTTAGTGTGTAGGCAGTTCCCCAGTTTTACAACTAAGGAAAGAGTTGTAACCGAGGACCACAGGGAAGTCTTCCTCCTCTCCCAGAGCAGGTGGCTGTAGTTCCCTCCAGCATGTCACATCCGGTGGTGCAAGTCCTCCATCCAGGTCAGCGTGTTTGACCCCTGGAACAGCACGTGGCTGATGGTGTGGAGTATGGCTGGCACTGGAGTACCATGGCAAAGGCGTAGAGGGTGCTCTTACCACCTTCTGAGGTCAGCTCTCCCCTGTTAGGTTAGGTAGGAAGCTGAGCACGCCCTAACTATTACTACACTTTGTGGAAGAGAAAACTTGAAAATGTCTTTGAAAAATATCTCGGCGGGTGCAGTGGCTCACGCCTGTCTCCTATGCACTTTGCGGGGCTGGCAGAGACGGGCGGATTGCTTGGGAATTAGGAATTTGAGACCAGCTGGCCAACATGAACATGGAAACCCTGTCTCTGCAAAAGCAGATTAGCTGGGCGTGCTGGTGGGTGCCTGTAATCCCAGCTGCTGGGAAGCTCAGGCAGGAGAGCCCTTCCCAACCCAGGAGGCGTAGGTTGTAGTGAGCTGAGATCCTGCCCTTGCACTCCAGGCTGTACAACAGAGTGAGCTCCATCTCAAAAACAAACAAACAAACAAACAAAATCTCACTACTGGATCTCTTCACTCCTACTGGATCTCTTCATTTCAGCCTTCAACAATCAAGCACCTTTCTCTAAAAGGACCTGCCAGCGCGCTGTGAGTGTTGCAGGTGCTTGGGGTCAGGAAACTGAACACAAAATCGTTCCTGTTCTAAAGGTGCTTAGAAGTGTTGCTGCAGATGAACACATGAAGAGAACTGTACCGTAGGAGACTACACTGCAGGCGGTGGTAGACATGTGATTACATGGGAGGGTTGGGCCTGAGAGGAGCAGCGTGGATCCAGCGTGCCCTGTCAAGGTGAAGCACGGGGAGGTCCACGAGGTAGGCAGAATCACGAGAAAGATAAAACGAGTGATCTGATGTCTGAAAAGAGGAGATGTTCCTATAGGAGGCCTGGCATGTGGGCAAAGGAGGCACAGAAAAGAAGTCTGGTAGGGCCTGAGAGGCAATGCAGGTGTAAGGTATGCGGGAGAGGAAAGTGTGCATGCAGAAGTGACTGGTTTTTTTTTCCTGCAGGAAATGAGGACTCACCTCACCAGTATTTAAGGAGGAACTACAGATGATCTGATGTGGAAAGAGAAAAGGTGGGAAAAACCAAGACGGAGGATAGCAGGAGCTAGAATTGGCGCAGGATTCCTAATCCTCAATGTAAGCTATGCTCAGCATTAAAACGCTTAGAGAAATGCGAAGAGAGTTCCTGCAGATGCGTTCTACCTCCCATCCCTCCCTCCTGATCAAACCAACTGTTCACACCATTACTCACCTTTTGAATGTGAGGTGTATATATGAAATACACATAATATAGATAATGTCCTGGTATAATACACTATATATTATCATATGAACATAAGAGACAGAGAGAGAGGTTTTTTTTTTGGAGTGTGTTGCATGCCAATCTTGGCTCACTGCAACCTCTGCCTCCCGGGTTCGCGATTCTCCTGTCCAGCCTCCTCGTAGCTAGGATTACAGGCATGTGCCACTCGCTGGCTAATTTTTTTGTATCCACCCCAGTAGAGACAGGGTTTCTCACATTGGTGGGCTGGTCTCGCTCTACCTGACCTCTGGTGATCCGCCTACTCAGCCTCCCAAAGTGCTGGGATTAGAGGTGAGCCACCCTGGCCTTAGATCTTTTGGGGACAAGTCTCCTCTCTGTCCAGGCTGGAGTGCAGTGGCGCAATCTTGTCACATAGCTCCTGTCTCCAGGTTCAAGCGATTCTCCTGCCTCAGCCTCCTGAGTAGCTGGGATTACAGGCATGTGCCACCACACCCAGCTCTGTTTATTTGTGAAATTTTTGTAGAAATTTGAGGTCTCACTATGTTGTTTAATGAATTTTAGTTGGATAATTTGAGTGAGGCAGTTAGCTCACGTCTGTAATCCCGGCACTTGGAGGCCCGAGCGGGTGGAGTCACGAAGAGGCAGAGGATTGAGGCCAGCCTGGCCAACATGGTAAAACCCCATCTCTACTAAAAATACAAAAGAATTAGCTGGGCATGGTGCAGGCGTGGCTAGTCAGGGAGGCAGGAGAAACACTTGAACCCGGGGGTGAGCATCCCCATACCTGGACACAAAGGCAGGAATTCTGCCTCGTGAGGGTTGGAACGCTTTTGTCACATGTGCGGAGCTCAAAGGGGATCTGCGGGTGAGGGCGTGCAGTGGCGCCCGGATGAGACGCTGCTAAGTAGTGAGGGATGTCACAGATGGTGACGAGTGTCTAGCGGTGGGACAAGCATGTGCAGAGGAGGGGCAGGAAGCAGGGCACAGCCGGGGGGCAACGCTTGAGACCAGGGAGCTATGTGGGAGGAGAAGGCAGCACAAGAAAGCTGAGATCTCCAATCACCTGAGGAGCCTGGGTTCTCTTCCCCTCCGATCTGAAAACTTATCCACCAGGGGCTAAAAAGGCTGCTGAAGCCAGTGACTTTTGGGGATCTGGCGGGATTATTCTCCCTTTCATGTTGCCGCCCAGGCTGGAGTGCAGTGGTGCGAAATGTGGCTCACTGCAACCTCTGCCTCCTGGGTTCAAGTGATTCTCCTGCCTCCCAGCCCATCTTAAGTAGCTGGGATTACAGGCACACACCCAGCTAATTTATGCATTTTTAGTAGAGACAGGGTTTTCGTGTGAGGCCAGGCTAGTCTTGAACTCCTGACCTCAGGTGGTCTGCCCACCTCAGCCTCCCAAACTGCTGGGATTACGGGCATGAGCTATCTCATGCCTGGCATCTGTATTATATGTACATGTACATACATATAAATATATAATGTAGTTTACATACACGTCTAGTATATATAGACACAATGTCTAGTTTATATATACAATGTCTACATAGTTAATACATGTCTTTATAATTTCTAATAATTATTCATATATAATTTCTATATAAATATATAATGCCATGTAAATATATAATTTCTATAGATATGCCTCTCGTAGGTTTTATTCATGAAATAACATATGAAAAGCACAGAGACTACAAAAGTGCTGGACAGACAGCGTTGAAATGGGTCATTGTCATCTTCAGTGCACAGATTGCCTAACAGGAGTGCATTTCAGTGGCCGCCGGCTTCCTGCCTAGCAGTGGCTGTCCGGGCGTGGTGGCTCACGCCTGTAATCCCAGCACTTTGGGAGGCCGAGGCAGAGATCTCACAAGGTCAGGAGATCGGGGGCTCTTCAGCCTGGCCATGCTGAAATTCCGTCTCTACTAAAAATACAAAAATTGGCGAGCGAGGTGGCAGGCACCTGTGGTCCCACCTGCACTGCGGGAGGCTGAAGTGAGAGAGTGGCGTGAACCGGGAGGTGGAGGTTGCAGTGAGCTGAAGTTGTGCCACTGCACTCCAGCCTGGAAGCAGAGTGAGACTCCACCTAAAAAAAAAAAAAAAAAAGAATGGTAGCTACAGAACACAGCAAAGTGAAATGTCCAGCTTCACAGACAGGGCAGGGTGTGGTAAGCCACCTTGTTCCTAGCCTCTTCCCACTGCTCCTGAAGAGACATTTCTGGTGTGGAAACACCCAGACATCCCTGGCTTCACAAGAAGCACCAAGAAACCCAGCTCTGTGAGCGTTTCTTCTGGGTGGACAGTGGTAAAGTTCACAAGGCCTCATCTTCCTCTGGGACCAACCCCTTCCTGCCCTGTGCACAGCTGCCCGGACAGAGGGGCCCTAAGTGTCCTGAGGCCAGGCTGTGGACCAGTAGAATCCTCCCCAGAGAGCTTTCAAGCTGGATCAGTGAAGGAGGCTCGTCCCTCACCCCGCGGCAAGATGCAGCTGTGAGGGGGAGCGAGCTGTGGCTACACTATTTCTGGCCACATAGACAAAGTCAGCCTGAGAAGAGAAAGAGAAGACCACAGTGAAGAGAACACAGGGAACAGAAAGATTCCTGGCTGATACCTGGGTTGCTTAGATGCCCTCTGGAGCCGACTGCACCTGCTATTCCAGGCTTGGTGCTGCCTTGTTGAGACAGGCTCTCCATCTGTCGCCGGGCTGGAGTCAAAGGCATGATCACACGCTCGTGGCTCGACCTCCTAAGCTCAGTGATCCTCCCACCTTAGCCTCCCATGCAGCTGCGGGTACAGGCATGTGCCACCACGCCTGGCTAATTTTTGTATTTTGTAGAGGCCCCAGGTCTTGCCCCACATTACCCAGGCTGGTGTAACTCCTGGCCTCAAGCAATCCTCCTGCCTCCGCTTCCCAAAGCTCAGGTACTTTTTTTTTTTAACTCCTAACCTACTTCTAGTTGGGTTTCTGGCTCTTACAACTTCAAGATTAGAACTTGAATTCGAACTTCTGACCAGTGCACTCCACACTCTCACACATTCCTAGAACCAGGGTGAAGAGCGGAAGAGGAGAAAGCTTCCAGACTGATGGAAAACACTGATGTGTCACCCACATTGCAAAGACAGCTAGCGGCAGGGGCGGATCACCTGAGGTCAGGAGTTTGAGACCAGCCTGGCTAATACGATGTAAACTCTATCTAAATACAAAAATTAGCCGGGCGTGGTGGTCCATGCCTATATTCCCCCCTTTAGCTACTCAGGGAGGCTGGGGCAGGAGAAATCACTTGAACCCAGGAGGTGGAGGTTGCAGTGAGCCAAGATCGTGCCACTGCATCCAGCCTGGGCGACAAGAGCAAGACTCAAGTCTCAAAAACATTTTTAAATTTAAAAAATAAAAGCAATCTTGGCTCATTTCAGACAACAAAGATCAGGCCGCGTTCGGAGGTGTGGCGATGGGCAAAGAGCAATTACATTTCAAGAACAGGCAGTTCATTCTGCATTGGTTCCTCTAGGTAATGCAGAGGGTGTTACATCCAGGAGTCAGCAAGCACACACAAAGGCTGTCTCTGTAGGCCTGAGTGTTCTGCATCCTCAAAACAAATAAGCAGAACCACACAGATGGCAGCTTTGTATAATACCTGCTGTTACACAGAGGAAAACTACTTGGGGAGATTTGCTGTGGTGTTTCTTTCAAGGTGGTTGTTATTGAGGATGGGTCTACATCTATACAAGATCAAATATATCTTTAAATGCCTGAAAGAGCTGTATTTCCTCTGAGAAGTAGACACGGTTGTCCAAAACAGACAAGACAACGCAAGTCGTATATTAAGATGTAATCTGTCTGCCTTTTTTTTTTTTTTTTGAGACAGAGTCTACCGCTGCCATGGGCTGGAGTACAGTGGCGCAATCTCGACTCACCCAGCCTCTGCCTCCCAGGTTCACGCCATTCTCCTGCCTCAGCCTCCTGAGTAGCTGGGACTACAGGCGCCCGCCACGCCCGGCTAATTTTTGTATTTTTAGTAGAGGCGAAGTTTTGCAGTGTTAACCAGGATGAGGTCTTGATCTCTGACCTCGTGATCTGCTGCCTTGGCCAAAGTGCTGGGATTACAGGCGTGAGCCACTGCCAGCCCTGCCTGCAAAGTGACAGGAATGTCAGATATAAATTTACAAGCATCAGGCTGGGCGCGATTGCACTTGTGCAATGCGCCAATCTCAGCTCACTGCAACCTCTACCTCCTGGGTTCAAGTGATTCCCCTGCCTCAGCCTCCCGAGTAGCTGGGATTACAGGCACCTGCCACCACACCTGTCTAATTGTGTGTTTTTATTTTATTTGTTTTTATTTATTTATTTTTTTGAGACAGAGTCTCACTCTGTTGCCCAGGCTGGAGTGCAGTGGCGTGACCTTGGCTCACTGCAAGCTCTGCCTCCTGGGTTCATGCCATTCTCCTGCCTCAGCCTCCCAAGTAGCTGCATTTAACAGGACTACAGGTGCCCACCACCACGCCCAGCTAGCTTTTTGTATTTTTAGTAGAAACGGGGTTTCACCATAGCCAGGATGGTCTCCATCTCCTGACCTCATCATCCTCCCGCCTCGGCCTCCCAAAGTGCTGGGATTACAGGTGTGAGTCACCGCACAGGCCTTAGTTTTGTGTGTTTAGTAGAGACAGGGTTTCACCCGTTGAGAAGGCATGGAGGCTAGTCTCGAACTCCTGACCTCAGGTGATCTGCTCACTTTGGCCTCTCACAGTGCTGGGAGTTGCATGCCAGTGTGAGCCACCACGCCCAGCCTTTATTAGTCACGTTCTTATGAGCATCCGAAATCCCTGCTGAAAAAGCGCGAGAGTAGAAAGAAATGCCACACTCACCTGGCCATGGTTCTTCTTTGCTGTTGTGGGAAGACACCTGTAAAAGGCAGGCGTCGGGGTGGGGAGAGAGGATGTGAGAGGCCACGCTTGTCCAGGAGCTCCTGATCAACTTCTGGGACCACCCCACACCCCACCCCTCATGGGCATAGGTGGGAGAAAACCTTCTCTGAAGGGTCCCCATTATCAAGCCCTTACCTTGGAAATGTCATAGGGGACTCACTCTTGTAGAGGCCTGACTTAGATTTTTGTTTTTGTTTTTTGAGATGGGGTTTCCTCTCTGTTGCCCAGGCTGGAATGCAGCGATACAATCATGACTCAATGCAGCCTTAGACTCCCAGGCTCGATCTCCCCACACCTCAGCCTCCTGAGACGCTAGGACTATAGGTGTGTGTGTGTGTGCTTATATATATATATATATATATTTTTTTTTTTTTTTTTGAGACGGAGTCTCGCTCCTGTGGCCAGGCTGGAGTACAGTGGTGTGATCTCTGCTCGCAGGCGCTCTGCCTCTTGGGTTCACGCCATTCTCCCTGCCTCAGCCTCCCAAGTAGCTGGGACTGGAGGTGCCCACCACACCCGACTAATTTTCTCTGTATTTTTTTAATGCAGAGAGAGAGGAACTTTCACTGTGTTGCTTCCAGGATGGTCTGGTGCGATCTCCTGACCTGGCGTGATCCACCACACTCGCCCTCGAGTCACTGGGATTACAGGCGCAGGCACTGCGCCCAACCGTGCCCAGCTGATTTTTAAATTTTTGAAGGTAGGGACAGGGTCTCTCACTGTAATTACCCAGGCTGGTCTCAAACTCCTGGGTTCAAGCAATCTGCCTGCCTCAGCCTCCCAAAAACCTGCGGGATTACAGGGGTGAACCACCACGACTGACTGTTTTTCTTAATGAGTATGTGTATCTGTGTCTCTCCAGCAGTAATCAATGTGCAATTTTTCTACAACCCAACCCATTACCCCAAAATGTAATTATTAGGGGAATTTATTCTGAAGAAACAGGCTGGACACAGGAAAAACTCCGCCTGTAATCACCACACTTTGGGAGGCTGAGGCAGGTCTGAGGTCAGGAGTTCAAGATCAGCTTGGCCAATGGTAAAACCCACGTCTCTATTAAAGAAATACAAAACTCCAGCCAGAATGTGGTGTACGTGCCTGTAATCCCAGCACTCAAGAGACTGAGGCAAGGAGGAGAATCTAGACCTTTGAGGCAGAGGTCTGGGAGCCGAGATTGCACCATACCACTGCACTCCTTGGCCACAGCGACAGAGAGACTCCATCCCCCAAAAAAATTGTAAGAAAAGCTTTTCAGAGGATGGGGTGCTCAATAGCTGAGCTGAGTGCAGTGGTACGGCGCAATCTTGGCTTCTGCAACCTGTTCCTCTCTTGGAGGTTCAAGTGGTCTCATGCCTCAGCCTCCCATGCTGCTGGGATTACAGGCGCACCACCAGCACGCCTAGCTAATTTTTGTATTTTTACTAGAGATAGGGTTTCACCATGTTGGCCAGGCTGGTCTCCAACTCCTGACCTCAGGTGATCCACCCACCTTTAGCCTCCCAAAGTGCTGGGATTACAGGCATGAGCCACCATGCCACCAGCCTATTTTATTGTAGAGGCCAGGCATGGTGGTTCACTCTGATCCCAGCTACTTGGAAACTGAGGCAGAATCACTTGAGCACCGAGGTGGAGATGACGGTGAGCTGTGATTGCACCACTATGCTCAGCCTGGGCTTAACACAAGTGATTCTAAAAACTTTACATATATATACACACATATACATATATGTTTTGCATGGGAGTCAGGGTCTGCTATGGCTGCCCAGGCTGATCTCGAACTCCTGGTCTCAAGTGATCCTCCCACCTTGGCCTCCCAAAGTGCTGGGATTACAAGCATGCACCACTGTACCCGGCCTGTTTCTTGTTATACCCTCCACACAAACTGGCACACATGTAATAAGTTGTAAACATACATCTATAAAAAAATTCTAGGCTTAAACTGGCTGGCTCAAGCTTATGACTCCACTTTGGCGCAGGGGGGCCCAGGGTCGGTGGATCTCTTGTGGTCAGGAGTTGAGACCAACAATAATTGAAACCCCATCTCTACTGAAAATACAAAGAATTATCCGGGCATGGTGGCTCATTACGCAATCCCAGCTGCTTGGGAGGCTGAGGCAGGAGAATCACTTGAACCAGGGAGGCGAAGTTGCCGTGAGCCGAGATCTCGCGCCGTGTACTCCAGCCTGGGCAACAAAGCAAAACTCCATCTCAAAAAATAAAATGAAAGATTCTGAGAAAACACACAGAATAAAATTAACAGCAGTTATCTTATCTTTGCATGGTAGGATTTTGGTTTGGTTGGTTTTGTTTCTTCAGATGAGGTCTCACTCTTGCCCAGGCTGGAGTGCAGTGGCACGTTCACAGCTTGCTGCAACCTCTGCCTCCTGGGCTCAAGTGATCCCTCAGCCTCAGCCTCCCAAGTGCTGGGACTACAGCACATATACTACCATGCCCAGCTAATTTTGTATTTTTCTGGAGAGAGGGTTTCACCATGTTGCCCAGGCTGGTCTCCAAACTCCTAGGGGGGCTCAAGTGATCCTCCTGCCTCAGCCTCCCAAAGTGCTGGGATTACAGGCATGAGCCACCTCACTGGGGGAGGATTTTTTCTTAACATATTTTTTCTAATTTCTTCAACGATAAACTGTAATTGCTGTTTCATATGCAAATATTTCATAAGAATATACATGCATTTTACTGGGTTTTCTCCTCATGGGCTCTATCAATGTCCTTCCCTGGTGAAAGGAAAGCCATGGGGAGAGCTAAAGAAGCGGAGGAAGGTAGGACCCAGAGGACAGAGTCTTGGCTTACCATGGAAATTGTGGAAGGTGCACAGAAGCCCCTGGCTACAGTGCTCTGCAAAGGGAGCCCTGGGCGTTGCAGTGCCGGCTGCGCCCTCTCTACTAGGAGCTGAGCGGTTCTGAATGTCTCTCTCACACCCATTTTGTTTAGTCTTTGACATGAGAAGAAGGAAGCAAAAACTCTCAGGTTAAGAAAGCAAATTCTGGCCAGGCGTGGTGGCTCACACACCTGTGATCAACACTTTGGGAGGCCAAGGCAGGTCATTAGTTACACAGGGTCAGGAGTTTGAGGGGCCAGCTGTACCTGGCAAACAGGCCGAAACCCATCTTCCACAAAATACAAAAATTTAGCCAGGTGTATAGTGGGGCGCCTGTAAACCAGCAGCTACTCAGGGAGGCAGAGGCAGGAAGGTATTGCTTGAACCCGGGAGGCGGAGGAATTCTGAAAAGCAATCGATCACTAAAAAAAGGAAGCAGATTCTGTAAAGCTGTCATGGTGTAGAGTTTATTTACTCCCAAAGCTTATTCCAACCCTATATTTTGTTATTGTTTTGGTTTTGTTGGCCACGGGGCCAACTAGTTTCTGTCTCTGCTGCTAAGTAGAAAAGAAGAGGAGATGAGAAGGGCTTTACTGGCCCAATCAGAAACAGAAACTAAGAAGCTATGACTGTGTTCTCTCCCTTGCACACCCCTGGTTCCATCGTGGTAGAAGCCAGGTCCGGAGGTGCCAAGTGGGATGGGCAGAGCGGGCGTGGGCTGCGCAGGCAGAGAGGGATGATGGGAGTGCAAATGATCCAGAGACAGTGTGGGCCGGGGCATCCTCTGAGCACTAGGGACATGCTCTCTGGCCCTGAGCCACAAACTTACCTCCCTAAGCAAGATCCTTTCTTTTTTCTCTTCCTAGCAAGGCTTCCATGAAACCTAGATGATCCCTTGTGTGACCACCCCAGGTTTACTTTCTGTCTGAAAAGCAGGCTGGGGGGCCATTTCAGGCCATGGACCTTGAGGGTTTTATGGAGTTTCGCTCTTGTTGCCCAGGCTGGAGTGCAGTGGTGTGTCTTGGCTCGCCTCCGCTTCCCGGAGTTCAAGTTCTCCTGCCTCAGCCTCCCAGTAGCCAGGACTACAGGCAGCGCCACACTCAGCTAATTTTAGTATTTTTAGTAGAGACAGGGTTTTGCCATGTCCAGGCTGATGCTCGAACTCGGCCTCGGAAGGGAAGTCCGCCCACCTGGCCTCCCAGATTGCTGGGATTACAGGCAGAGCCACCGTGCCTGGCCCCAGGGGCTGCGCAGGCAGGAGAGGATGATGGGAATTGCAAATGATCCAGAGACAGTGTGGGCCGGGCTTGTCCTCTGAGCACTAGGGACATGCTCTGGCCCTGAGCCCGCAAACTTGCACTCCCTAAAGCAAGATCCTCTTTCTCTTCCTAGCAAGGCTTCCACTCAATTGAAACCTAGATGATCCCTTGACGTGACCACCCAGGTTTACTCTGTCCCCAAGCAGGCTGGGGCCATTTCAGGTACATGGACCTTGGGGTTTTTATGGAGTTTCGCTCTTGTTGCCCAGGCTGGAGTGCAGTGGTGTCATCTTGGCTCACTGCAACCTCCGCTTCCCGGGTTCAAGTGATTCTCCTGCCTCAGCCTCCCGAGTAACTGGGACTACAGGCAGCCGCTACCACACTCAGCTAATTTTAGTATTTTTAGTAGAGACAGGGTTTTGCCATGTCAGGCTGATGTCGAACTCCTGACCTCAGGTGATCCGCCCACCTCGGCCTCCCAGATTGCTGGGATTACAGGCAAGAGCCACCGTGCCCGGCCCCAGGTACACAGACGTTGGGAGCTGCCACCCTCCACGTGGCCCTCCGGCTTCAGCCCTAAGCTATGTGAAGAGGTCTCAGAACTGGGGTCTCGCTCTCCAAAGCAGATTCCTGCTCCCCACTGTCAAGTTCTTCTTCACAGGAATGTTTTACTTCCGGCATGCCTGGGCCTTGAACACTTGGGCAAATCCACTTGGCTCTCAAGGCTCCGCTCCCCTACTGAGAACTTACCTTCAGGTGGGGACTCCAGCTCCAGCCTCTGCAGACCGGGGTAGAAACAAGCTTGAGGTGCTGAGAGGAGGGACCCACCTTCCTGACAAAGTTCAGTCCTGAGCTTCTGCAAAGACACGAGGAAAACCCGAAATTACAATGACGCAGTGAGGCCCACAAGAAAACATTAGCACACCTGTCACCTCAGCACTTTGGGAGCCTGAGGCAGGAGAATCGCTTGAGGCCAAGGAGTTTGAGACCAGCCTGGTCAACAAACACCCCGCCTCTACAGGGGGAAGAGAAGACATTAGCAGGGTCCCTTTAC